AATGCTGTCTTAAAGTGCAAACCAATAGCGAAGCTCGTCGTTGCAAATTTGTTACGTCAACTTTCGCGGGAAGTAAACCAACTTTCATCGAAGAAGAATCCGTCACTTTTGCGTAAGTCAAACAAAGAAGAGTTGAATGACTTCAACTTAGAGTCATTATGCAAAGAATGGGAGGAAAAGGCATCCACTTATTACTCTTCTCATGACGGTTGCTGTGAGCAGGAAAGCAGAAATAAGCTGGTTACCCGGTGTTGTTGTAGCGGGTTCGATACTCTTGAAGCAAAGGGGTCGTCACCTAAGTGCTACAGCAAATGCTATTCGTATTATGCTGAAAACTGGATCCGTTGAGGTACCATAAATATTTATATGATCTATTAAATGGCAGCTTGAAAGCCTATACATATTTAAGCCTAAGTTACTACAAGAAGGGAAATAGAAAAAAAAATTATAATTTATAATGTTCATTCAGCATTGTCACACCAAAATAATAGTGATTAATGTACATTAATTAAAATAATTGTGTAAACTGAAAAAAGAAGTAATTACTTCTACTCTGTTTGAAGTAGGCTTAAAGCTCGTGATTGTAAATTATTGCAATATGGATTTAACCTTTGTTTTCTATTCTCTGTATTCAGGCAAACCTTAATCGTCTATGCAGAATGAAAGTGACCTGCTGTAATCAAACCACTTTAAACAAGATGACATTGCTTGGTGAGGGTTATGACAGTACACTCCTGAGTGCCAAGAAGCAAATAACTGCTGAAAACCAAAAAAGGGAAGATCTTGAGTCAAAGATTGGGAAGATGTCCAGTACTACAGCAGAGAGGAATAACCATGCTGGTTGTAAAATCAAGAGTTGGTTGCCATGGTTGCTGGTTGTAAAATCAAGTTGTTGGTTGCTGGTTGTAAAATCAAGTTGTTGGTTGCTGGTTGTAAAATCAAGAGCATGGTTGCCATGCTGGTTGTAAAATCAAGAGTTATTGTAGCTGCCATGAAAGTACTTGGTATCAAAGACAAAGACAGTAAGCCTGAAAACTTTACCATTCCAGAAGATATCAGTAAGCAGAACAAGGAAATGAAACGCAAAGTCATACATAAAGCTGCTGCACGTGTTGTAGATGAATTAGTGTGTAAAGGATCTGAGTGTGATATATTGTCAGAAATGATGAAATATCAAGAGGAAGAAAACCACCAGAACAACCAAGAGCTAACATCAGATGGCAGATATCCTTGTAGATTTCCTGGGTGTTCAAAATCCTTTATGATTCGATCGTACTACAGTTCTTAGTGTTCAGTGTTCCAGCCGTTGTGGCTCGTTTTCTTTTCTTTATTTCGGTCGTAAAACGACTGATTTCACGCTCATAGAAGCACATGATCACCTTTACTGTTTCTTGCTCTGCGTTGTTTAAATGCCCCTGAGATCAAAATTTTCGCACATCATTTTTTTTTCCATTTTCGTGTTCAGTATGTCTCCTTCACCTACTCTGCCAAATTTCAGTTTAGACCGAGCACCAGAAGTATCTTTTTCGGGCCGTTAAATTCACGATTTCGCGTCCGATCATGTTCCGGAAATTGATCGCAGGACTCAGAGGAAGTGACGTCAAAGGCTCAACGCGAAAATCTCACATGGCAAAATGTCAAGTAAACATAACAGAATGCTTTACTCTATTCTTACAAAAACTAAACAAAAATGACTGGGCATCGATGCGTAATTCAAAGCTGAAGTAATCGTGCAGACCATGCTGCATGTATTTCTCTGCATCGGAGCCTTGCAAATAGATCAGAGCGGGAAAAACGGATGCGATTTGTGCGACCTCGCCGAGTAAACTTCAATCCTACAGAAATATTTGTGATCTGCTCCGAACGCTTCTCGGAGGACTGTTTCGAGAGATCTGTGTACTTTGAAGGATCCAGGCGAAGAATTCTGTCGGGTTCAGTGCCTACCGTTCAAGAAGAGAAGGGACAAGAAAAACCGTCCTCAGTGCGATCTCGACGCCGGAAAGCGAAGTCTACGAACCTCCACGGATTTTGTCACCTTTACATATGAGCTGATCAATATCCACCTTTAACAACTCTCTGGCAGAATACCTTACACAAAGGAAAGTACTCGGTGAACATTGTAAATAAGAATGATAAAATAGCCGAATTGAGGATTGAGATTTCTGACCTCAAAGAGCTCACTTTTATACAAAAGAGATGAAAAATATAATTGTGTGCTCTGATTCTAAAAAAAGCTGGCTTTAATATCAGCGAAAGCAGAACAAACAGCTTAAGACACAGAGCGTAAAAACACTTTAAAATGTAGGCTTGCAGCCAAAAAACCGAGAAAATGAAAATTTCTTTAAAAACCTGTCAAACTATCAACCATCTGACAGCCAAGTCAGCGTGCTATCAAAGGGTCTCAAATTCATCCCAACGCCCGTGACAAACGAATTTAAAATCAGGCCAACTTTTGCGAGATTTATTCGCAAGACAAATGCGCCTCCGTTACACCTTTCAC